AAATAATACATATTTTATTATTTTATATATTTTTCCTCCCCTTTCCTCTTCCTTTAGGATTGTTCCACTTAAAGGAAGTTAAAATTGAAGTTTTCTGAAAGTTCTACTGCTTTGGTGTCCTGTCACCTGTGTTGTGGCAGCTGTTTCATCATCATAAAAGACTGAACTTTAAGAGCCTTCAGCTACAGAAATTGCCTAAGTGCTGAGCAATAATATTTATTAGTCTAAGATCATTACTTAATATTTTTGTAGAGCTTTTATAGAACCATGATTTCTAAGCTATGTTTTTTAGCATAGTTACAGGATCATCTGTGCATAATGGTTGTCTTGCCTACATGATACCAGAATAATTGTTTTTACAGCCTGCTCTTGAGGTGCCAAATAAATGATCATTGTAAAGCTTTCTCACATTGTCATCTTTTAATCTTGATCTGATTATTTACACTGAGCAGCACGATACAGGGTGCCATGGCCCAGACAGAAAGGAAAATTTACTCCTGCAGCTTGATATTTTAAAATCCCCAGAAGAAGACAAACTGTTTTGTTTGAAGAAAACTAACAAGCAAAATGATTCCTTTCCTGGACTTATATTTGACCAGTAAATGTGAAAAAAGGATTAGTTTATAGATTAAGAAACAGAAAAGGTTTTCAATTTCCTTCCTGTCTCAGCAGCTAAGTTCTCCCATTTTGAGTTTGTCTACATGCCCTAGGCTTGTAAGGATCCCAGTGTGTCTTCATTATGGCTGCAGGGAATCAGACTGCACAAATCTAATTGTGGGTTCAGCTCCTTACTTTGTTGTTCCATGCTGCCCATTAATGTGCATGTACTCTACTGAGACTGGTGTCTTTGAAAACATAATGTATTGCATAAAGTCATATGCATCTTCCAATGTAATATAATAAAATAAACATTATGAGGAACTAACCTGTTTAAGGGTGGAGAGGGTGATATTCATTTACCTGGAAAGCAGAGGAGTTGGAAGTGAGGCACTGTGGTAATGGGCATATATTTTATTTCTCTCAAATTCTTTTCAGGGTAAGTGAAGAAAAGGAGGTGACAGAAGAACGGCTGAAAGCTGAACAGGAGTCATTTGAGAAGAAGATCAGACAGCTAGAGGAACAGAATGAACTTATCATCAAGGAAAGGGAAGATATCCTTTTAAAAAAATGTGTGCAGGGGCTCACTGTCTGAAATAAAAAGTGAACTACAGAGAAATAATTGTTCTAATTTATGGCAGAGAATAAATCTGCATGTGCTGCCATTCAGAAGCAATCAGAGAGATGACTTGTCAGCATGTGACGCTGGTTCATTTGAGCTTAAAACTGCCATCCAGCTGTTCCTATGATGTTGTTTTGCTATGAAATAGATATTTGTCAACTAAAAACAACAGTAAGGAATTTATACATTAAAATATAGTGGTAGATTTTTTTTTTTTTTACTTAATCCTGTTAAGTTGTTGTAACTGTGGTCTAAAACTTGCATGGTATTCCAGTGCTGTCTGTGTCCAGAGAAGGACAACTTAGACTGAAGGCATTTAAACTGTATACATGTACTGGGAGGTTTAGCCAGTTCAGACTTTTTTGGTGTAGCTTTGGTTTGTTTTTTTTGTTGTTTGTTTTTTTTTTTTTAATATAAAGTTAGATGATTCTCTCTTCTTACAGGCTGTGACTTCCATTTTTGTTAACCTACATATGTGTAGTCCCAGTCCTAGCATATCACATGCAAAGTCAGTGTTGCAGGAATTACAGTTTTCCTTCAGTGTGGTGTTGCAGACCTTTACAAAATGCTCTTGTTCATTTCTCTTCCAAATCTTTGATATTGATGCTTTCTTGTTTAATTCCTCAGAAGGCTAACAGTGGACTACAGTGGTATATGGAGGAGACAGTGCTGCAACAACAACAAAAGCAAATAGCATGTGATTCATCAGGAGCTGTATTTCAAGTAGGGAGGATATTAAAGCTATTTTAAAAAGCATTGATTAAACCTAGTGTGCGACACTGTTTTCAGTCCTGAGTCATCTCTTGTTCAAGTAAAAAATGAAGTTAATGACGAAAGCTGTGGAGAAGGGCTGCTTAAGATGTTGAGGGTCCTGGAGAACCTATTTTCTGAGAAGAGTGTGTAGATTGAGATGGTGGTGACGTGAATATGGGTAAAGACAATGCTGAGACAAAAAAGACTCTTCAAGCTATAGGCCAGGGTTGGAACAGAAATAAATGGAGATAAACAGTCCACAAACTTACACACGAAGTTAGAGGAAGATTCTTGAAAATTCAGGCAATCATATTTCACTGTGTAGCACTGGAAGGCTTAACAAAAAAAAAGCATTTTTATGATGGAGCTTGGTTGGCTTATGAAAGGAATTCAGTGATATGTTGTCTCTGTCAGCAGGGGATTGCCCTTCATGGCCTAGAAGATCCCTTGTAGCGCAGTGGCACTAATATTGATTGAAAGAATTTGGTCTGTTTGTACTAAATAATATATGCATCAACAAGCTTAGCTGGGCATGGAACTGTTCCCGGAAAATACTAAATCTGATGTATTTAAGAGCCATTAGATGTGACTACAACTCTTTTACGCTGATTTTACTGACATCATTATTTTGTGTATTATGTCTTGCGTATTCAGTCAGCCCATAAATGTGGGTGGGATGTATGTTCCAGATTAATATTTTTTAATTTATGCATGTAAAGCTTTCACTCATTCATCTGAGATTTATTTGGCTATTGGGAAGTAGGCATGCTTACTTGGGTTGGTTTTTTGTTATTTTTTGTTTATTTTTTGTTTTTTCCCCTTACTAGAAATAGATTGCACAAGCATGAATACTTTTTCAGAAGTGAGGTAGACATGCAAGAGGTTAATGTATGCAATTTTACACTTCATAAAACTGTAAAACCTAGAAATATACAACAAGGTTATAATTTAAAACAATACAATTTTAACTACTGCAATACTTGCCCATCATACATGAATGATTCAAAATCCACAGTGTACCTCTGATCACTTAATTTTTTATCTCAAAGCTTGTTGCAGAGACAAGACATGGTAGAAATTACTTGCCGAAGTTGAATACAGATTGTGGCTGTTTTCAAGTACAGCAACTTGAGATTCTTGAAGTTCTTCTGAAATGTTCACTTGCAAATAAGAGATCAGGGATATAATAAGAAAAAACCTTCAAGTCTGGTAAAATCAATTTTACTTACCTTTTTTCTTTTTCCTCTCCCAAAGCTAATTTACTCTCTATAAAATTACTTTATCTAGCCCAGTATTTAAAATTACCATACAATAATAAATCAGTGGTTCTGATATAACTGTAGCTATCCAGTGAAGTGTAATTTCAACTTGGTAAATGTTTAATTTGAATAGCATGGGAAGTGTGTGCTTTTCAGCAAGATGTCTTTTTTTTTTTTTTATTAAGAATCTTGCAGCAGAGATATGCTTTCTGTGCTTGAAATCCCTACTTTGAAAGCAGATTTTCCTCATTTTGTTGGGATTTTTTTTTTTTTTTTTGAGAAGCTATGTGGACCTTTGTATTTGAATTCATTGCTGATGAACTCTGATGAAACCTTTGGGGAGTAGGGAAGTAGGTAGTATGTAGTGGTCTCACTGCAGAACTGAGTAATTTCACAGTATTGAAAAAACAATAGTATCTGTCTGCAGCCTAAATTTACATTTGTGTTGGAATTGGTCAGTGCCATCTGGGTAAGGAACAGCAACTAGAAAGTCATGCAAACTTAAAGTGAATTCTGTCCTTCCATTGTGGTTGAAACTTTGAACCATGAGTAGTTTTTACTAGGGCTTGCAGTTCATGGAGGACAATCCTGATGAGGATGTGATAAGCTGTGAATCCTAAGTAGGCCAGCCTGTTGTCAAGGTTGCCAAATACTTACCACAGATTTAAAGAAAATGAGGGATTTTGAGTAGTTATCTGGTCTACTTCTTTTCCTGTAGCAGTATCTTTAGACCTATCATATTATCTTATAATTTGGTCAAAATTAGGTATTTTGGCTTGGTTTTTCATAGAGTTTTCCTACTTCAAACTGACTTCTTTCAAAAGCAACTGACCTAAAGTGTTTCAGCCAGTTCCGAAACCAAAAGAGGATCAAATCTTTATTTTATCTATAATAAACTTTTGTAGCCTTTTTTCTAAAAAGTTCTAGTGCTGCTGTTCTTTGGAGATGTGATGCTTAGTGGTGTAAGGTAAGCGTTCTGTGATGACATCTTTCGCTGTTCTTCAGCCAAATTGGACCAAACTGGAAAATCCAGTAACAGCTGCTCCCATTCTTTTGATGCCTTCCAAAAGGAAATCGTGTTACAGCTATGAGGATGAGAAAGTGGTGGAAAAAAACAATCTTCTGAAAGGGAAGACTGAGCAGGAGGTAGAGGGGAGAACGTAAGTGGAAGCTGTACTGGGGAGGTGAAAACTATAACCTGGCTGGAAGGAAAGAATTGGAAGAGAAGATTGGGCTGGATATGGCTGATGTGAAAGCCTGTGACTGACGAGTTCAGAAGTGCTTGGGATAAGCAGTCAGAATTAAGGAAGAGCCAGGATGGACGCAGGTGGCCTAGGATCAGTCAGATGATTGAGAGCGAGCTGATGAAAGAAGCGATGTGTCTGTTCAGTGTATTCTAGCACCTTCCAAATGTTGAAATAGAATTTGGGACTAAGCTTATGTGAGAAGGCTCACCATGTGTGACCTACCTCGATGACTTCCTCAGCATCTGCTTTGCGTATTTGTCGTCTTTTTGCTTCTGTATTCCCAGATTGTGATGGATACATACCGGCTCACTGAACTGTGCTTCTAGCGGCAGTCTAAGTTCTGGCATTGCCTTTGGAGTGTTTGACTTGCAGCTTCAGTGTTCTTGCTTTTATTGTTTCATTTGCATATTCAGAATAAGGGATGAGCACTGCACACCATGTTATGCTCTTAGGCTACTTGCGCTGCCCCTTCTTCCACTTCCACTTCTATTAGCTTATGGCTTTCTTTTTTATTAGCTTATGGCTTTTTTTTTTCTGACATATTTTCAAGCACCTATTATTAATTTAGATCCCAAATATGATTTAATTTAAGAAACAGGAAAATATCTTTTGTAAGATGCCCCAGTACTGTCATGATATATGTCTTAGGGAAAAAAATATAATAATGAGATTATTAAGAAACAAATACTACTGTTATTTCAAAGCCCAAAGAAATTATGTTATGGTCTTTAGCTTTTCTTGTTATCACCATTAAGGGTTTTTTTGATCTAAATTTGATGGTATTGCATAAATGAAGAAGCAAAAACAGCCTTAACATTTCTGTGAAGATTTATTAATTGGGGACGAGGAAACTTCTTTTAAAAAAAAAATAAAAAATTGGGTATTGAATTCTAAGCTATGCTGAAGTTAGCATTTTGGAGATAAAGAATAGGGAGATAAAGGGAAGAAGAGATTCTGTTTATTACAAACTTACTGTTTTCCTTTTGTAAATTTAAACTCATCAGCCCTGCTAAACAACTTGTTTTGGTTTATATTTAGAATGTACCTGGATTATTTAAGCTTTTTGTTGGAATTATTTTCTGACTGAGCATGACCTGTTGATTTGAAGACTTAGACAAGTTCATACAACAAATCCCATGTGATTTGCTTGGCTAGTCTTAAAAGTGATCACAGACTCTGTTTACATATGCTCTTAATATTGTAACTTAGGACTACTTAATTAGTTGATTTTGCATGCAGTTAACATGAATATTAATTTACCTAAACCAGTTCATTTGCTGATATTGTTAGTGAGACATAGAATATTAATTTGCTGGAAGAATAATGGACTTACAAGCATTATCTAGAGTCTTTAATGAAACACTTTTAGTTTTGCCATAGTACTGTTCATTACATTACTCTTGCATATACTTATAAAGTGGTGCTATTTATATGTTTTCTCTTTTTCCTATTTTCTGTGTTAATGTAGAATTAGTATTATTTTTCAGAAGAAAAATAGCTGCTGACTTGCTTAATGACAAAGAACAAAATGATAGAAAAGCAGGTATCAGAGTACAGAATTTACTTGTTTATTCTGTCACAATATTGAATTCACTTTTCTTGCATAGAAAGCCTAGTGCAAGGCTTTGTTGGACATGTGCTCCTTGTGTCCTGCTTAACAGATATATGTGCGT